TATATTACAGATTGATATCAATTTTGTTCCCCGTTGCAATTACTTAGTTACCATTGCTTAATACAGATAACGTTTGACCTATACAAGTGTCGGGTGTTGTCATTCGTGGCGCGACATATGTTTAATTCTATGTTTTACTTTTTACAATGAAATTGAATTATATATATAGAATAGCTCCGAATAGCCTGTATGGGTACGTTGCTTACCTATTCTTAACAAAAGGAAACATAAATTAAGAACTTACGACGTAGAAAGTGATAATATTCTCTATCTACGACTTGCGAGAATAAATAGAAGAAAAATAGCATATGATTGATTTCCTACCAAAAGTTAGAGCGTGTTTCCAAAATTCTTTGAAGAAAGTTAAATCCATTAGATAAATACTTTTAATTTAATTTCTAATTTTTAAAGTATAAAAATTCTTACCGCTTTACTTTGAATATTAATTTTAACCGACTGTTCGAGTAAAACAAATAATACTAATATATAACAGTAGCCCGCGGCAAATGTGCCGGATTGCGCCCTAACTAGAATTTATAACTTGTACCTCAGATGTAGATACGGCTACTAAATATTATGAATCCTTAGTTAACGTAGGGTTGCCTTTAAATGCGTTTTTTATTTATGGCTGTATTAATTAATTAATACTATTACAATAGATGAAGAATAAAATCATTATCATATCAGCCTTTAACTGTACACTGCTGTACATAAGCCTTCCTCTTCGGGAGATTTGCCAGTAGTTACCTTGACAGACGGGTTGACAACCGTAGTTTGGCTTTAGAGATACTTTAAGAAGGACGCTGCTGCCTATCCCTCACCCTCTCTTAGTCGCCTCTCACATTACCCACGGGAAAGGAAGAGGTGACCTATTCTATACCACACAGCCATAAGAAAATCATCATAATGACAAGGATATAAGTAGACCGTCGGGGTCAAAAATGTATAAAAATGCAAATATTATAATTATGTACACTAGACATGATGAAAGTACGAAAAAACTATCAAGCTTAGTTATATCTAATGCCTATACAAATAAAAATAAATCGGTAAATATGTCACTAAGCACAAATTAACTCAGTTATTAATAATTATAGTTGAAGTTCATAGAAGGTTTTCGTTTATTTATTTGTTTATTTAATTTTTAACGTACAGTAAAATTCTATGTACATTTGTCAGATTTAACACCGGACGATGTTCTCTACCAGTCAACCATTGGGCAAACTGAGAAATAAATATGCGGTGCATTATTGAATAAAGGAAACATAAAGTCATACTTAATATATTGATATAATATAAACAATATAATATTTATAATTAGATTAAAATAGACATACATATTTGTAATTTTCTATTTTTTTCTGTTTAATTTACAAACAAACTGTTCCTGGCTGATAATTCAAACAATAGCTTTTGAATTTCTGAAAAAAAAAATCACATCTGTTTTATCAATAATCATCAATAATTAATAACAGAAACTTAGTAGATACTAAGATAAACAATATAAGATTTTATTTACAGTCTGGCTTAAAAAGACAGCTTCGTTCTTACATACGAGGTTTTCGTATAAAAGTTTTTTAAAAATTTTATTTTACAATTACAGGTAAATCAATTTTATCCCCTTCAAAGTACTCCCCCTGTGACATAATGCACTTGTGCCAACGCCGTTTCCACTGTGAGAAGGCTCCTTGAAAATAGCTTTTTTTATCTCATTTATGTCCCCCAAATGCCGCCCCCGAAGTACCAATTTGGTTTTTGGGAACAAGAAGAAGTCACACGGGGCCAAATCCGGCGAAAAGGGGGGGTGTTCGGTCACCGTAATGGAATTTTTACTCAAAAACTCACGGACAACAAGAGAGGTGTGGGCAGGGGCATTGTCGTGGTGAAGAATCCAACGCCCCTCTCGCGCCAATTCTGGACGAACTCGTGCCACACGAGCTTTGAGGCGTCTGAGCACATCGACGTAGGATTTTCCATCAACTGTCTGGCCTGGAGGGACGAATTCTTGATGGACAAAACATCGAAAAAAACAATCAACATTGTCTTGACATTTGATGATTTTTTTGTTCGTGGTCTCTCTTATCGAATTAGATCGGCAAAAATTTGCCATTCTTGCCGAGTTTCGAGAGAAACTTGATTACGACGCGCTGCTCTTCAACGGAAGCGGGCTCCATGCCGACGGGGTTTCGTTAAGAGGTAACTTCACAGATGGCGTGACAAGCCAGTTCGCACCGCACGGCGGTCAGACCAGAACTGAAGCATTGTTAGGGACATAAGGAAGGGGTCCTGCGCTTACCTGGCCTCCCCACTCCTCTTTCTCGCATTCCAGAACACTTTTATACGAACTTTCCGGACAGACCTTAGAATACGGGAATAGCAACAGTATCCTGAACACGCCTCTAAAAAAATTAGATAGTTCTCTCATGAGAATGCTAGCCAAGAGGACTAGATCATTATTAGTAATTAAATATTAACATAGTTTTTAGTATACTACTAACAAAAATGGGTCCAAGTTGTCTAAAATAAATCATCATCTTCCTACCCTTATCCCAGTTATTATTTGGGGTCGGCGTAATATGTTTTCCTCTTCCATTCTTCTCTATTCCCAGTCATTTCCGCATTCACTCTCATTCTGGCCATATCGTCTTTCACACAATCCATCCATGGCTTTTTAGGTCTTCCTCTGCCCTTATAGCATTCTATCTACATTCATTCTTAATACCTTCTTTAAAATCTTTAAAGTTGTCTAAAATAAATAAATAAATTAAAATTAAAATAAATTCAACAAAAATATCAATATTGTTTCAGACAAATCACATTACACACAAAAAATTACAGGCGCGTTAAGAATCTCCTTTCTTAGAAAGTGGCCGAAGAAAGTAATTTCTTGCCATACATCCCTATGCTCTTAGATATGTATTTAATCATATTCCTATATACACAGTCAGCATTAATTCTAAAACCACTCGACAGTACGTTATCTCAATTTATTCCTGCGGCAATACCATGACAAATGGGTTTGCAATTATTCACATTGTATATTTTAGACATTATGTTACTAAGGAAATGGATCTCTTACATCCAATTAACTGCCTTTGACTAATGATTAGCAATTAAAATAAAATAAAATTTATTACCAAATAACAATTGTATTCACGAAATACATAAATTAAATAGAGAAACTGTGTATCACGCGGAAGAAAAACCTCAATTTATTAATTAAAATTAGAAATTACTTAATTATCAGACAAAATTTTTAAAGAAAATATTTTTAATCACCGTATAAGTCCCGAAATAGAATAGACTACTCTTCCTTACCCGTGAGTGTCGTAAAAGGCGACTAAGGGAAGTTAATGCTAGAGGGATGGGCAGCAACGTCCCTCTTAAAAGATCACTAAAAACTAACTGCGAGTGCTAACCTGCCTGCCAAGCGTGGCAACTACTGGTAAAACTCCCCTTCTGGGGAAGGTTTATATTCAGCGGCTGATATAATGATGATGATGATGATGATGAAGATATGATTAATATACACAAAGAAGATATAAAACAGTTACAATACAAAGTTAACAAATAATAATTCAAAGCAAATTTTTTTATTATAATAACAAAAGTGTAGAGTAAAGACTAAAAAACCGTATTAAAATAGGGCCATATTCAATCAAGGGCTGACATAGGTATAGAGTTGGAAACGTGCAGATGAAGCATTTCGTATATTTTCTTAAAAATTCTTACATATATTTATTTTTAAATATCTGCCAAAGTTTGTTGTTAACGCTGGCAAGGCACCAGTAAGGGATGACAGGTGAAGATGAAGCTAGTTGGCTCATCGTGATGAATTTTGAAAAAGGGCTGCATGAAATTCGACGTAGCTGGATATATTGTTAGCAATTGAGCCGATAGTCAACGTCTTTTTTTTAATATTTCTAGTGAAAACCAGAGGGAGACTTTGTATAAAAGTCGTCTGCTTGGGTACCTCTGTCCCATTCGTATTTTCGTCGTGAAGCAATTATGTTTGCAAGGCTGTATTTCGGTTTGAAGGATAGGATATGACAATGAAATTATAGAATACAGAGGCGTAATCTTAGTCATCACGAATGTCAACGCATGAAGGGTATCACAGGAAAGACAAACAATATATTCTGTTATATCTATGATACTGTTCATGTCTACAGGCGACGGTTACCACTTTCCATCAGGTGGGCCGTGAGCTTTTTTATTATACTATGTTTATTATTATTATAATTTCCATAAAAAATACTTTATCAATATTTGTATGTTATGACACAAATATGTGATATCGGGCCGTGTGGTACTGGCATAGAATAGGTCATCCCTTTCTATTCCGTGGGTGTCGTAAAAGCCGACTAAAGGAGGGCAGGGAGCAGCGTCCCTCTTAAAACATCTCTAAAATCTGACTGCGCCTACCAAGCGTGGTAACTACTGGCAATACCTCCCAAGGGGGAGGCTTATGTCCAGCAGTGGACAGTTAAGGACTAATATCATGATGGTGATATATAAAATATATAAAATGTATCATTTTATATAAACTCTAAACAATGTTATAGACTAAATTATATCTAGCTAGTGCATTAATTAATCATGAGGCTGATATAATTAATCACTCTTAATTGGGATTTCTTATACCTTACTTTTCTATCTATCAAGATAATTTTCCCATAATCAAGTATACGGTAAAATTTCCTTTTTAACTAAAAGCGTTGAAGTTACTTATAACGACTTTGTAAAAGGGGAAATTATAGAGATTATGGGCCAAACGTGTGGCAGTGTGTGCTGTATCAATGAGCAATTAGAACTCATTAAAGTAAATCGATTGAGGGTAAAAAGTCGCGAGTTTGTCGTAATTGACGACGAAAAAGTCGCGAGATTCTCGATTATTATGCGATATAACCGGCATGGGGCGTGTGGCCCCGCCTACAGAGGCGTAGGGAGGGACACGCGACTGCCATGGCAGAGGAGGTAAGAGGACCAGTCGCCTTCGCCACCGCGGACTTAGTGCGCGTTTTAGCGCTACTAACGCGAATTCGCGTATTGCAAAGCCGACGGTGAACGCTACGTGCTTCCAATACGGAACTGGATATTTGTATATTATGTAGATGATATTTTATCAAGTGACTAATGTGTTGGACCATTCAAATTTAATATCTAACAAATCGTATTATTTGATGCATGATATCAGTATCGCGAATCAAATTATGCAATGCACCTGCACCTTAATACGTGACGAGGTTGTAGCAAATTTATCTTGTGATAAATAATAGTGACACAAAATTAAAATGCGTTCCAATTTTGACGTTACTATCAAACTGTCAAGGTGTGACTAAAATGTCAAACGTAAACATAAACACTGTTCTAAATTTAAAAGTCTTCAGTGCTAGCAATCAATTAGAAAATGGACCTTACAACACGGCGCGGGGAAGCGGATGGAACTGTTCCACCGGATTCGGTACATTTAAACGGAGCGGAGCAGATGTGCCGCGAACTAGTGAACGGAACGGACATCGGGTATGACGTCACGGGGGTAACCACGGAAGTGACAACATCACGGAAGACGAACTCGTTCAGTATAAGGAATTTGGTTGGCGGAGATGATTCGGAACGTTCAGCCGACGGGAGCACGAACGTCAACGATGGTAAGTTATATTTTTTTAAATTTATGTATCTACATACTTATAAATACTGAAAACAATTCCAGATAATTGAATGAATATATTTTTTTTATTAGTTTTAAATACTTATACACTAAAACAAAGTATGCATTTATTACATTTCTTTCTAAATTTTCAATAATTCTTTTGTTGTTTATAAAAAAAAAATAGTCATAAAACAAATAATAGGAAATTCATGTTTTTATTGTTTTTTATTATAATTTTTAAGTTGTTTTAAGTTAGGCCTACTGTTTTATACATTGCTATCATCATTAAAACTTTTTGTAATAGGTATATTACTTATACAGGTTGAAGAAACTAAATTACTAGAATATTTTATTAACAAGATTAATAGGTATAGTGAATAATCAAAATCTCTCCATAATTAGTTTTCATTTATTTAATTTTCTTTGATATCACAATCAATTAATTACTACCCAAAATTAATTAAATGTAGAGTTTGTTATCGTACTGAAACAGTAGAATATAAGAAGAAGAAGATAATAAATTACTTTGAATGTTGCAGCGTAGCACTTAATACTAATGTGAACAAATAATAAACATACAATCTCACTGTATCACACAATGCGTCACTTAAGGCAATGACTAAAATAAAAACTCTTCAATATTAACTTTAGATTTATTATTAAATTTCACGGAGAATAAATTCCTCAAAGGATTTATAGAAAATGCATCGATTATGTTATATATGAAATTTTCAACATAAAACATGGTTACATTTCTTCAAGTGTTTTGAACCAATCAAACAAATATTATTGTTTTCATTTGTATAAACTGTCTAGTGCAAATGGGCTAAGAGTATTCAAAGAATCGTTTATCGCTCTAATGTATTCGTGATCAGTTTTATAGTTAGAAACTAAGTAATAAGTTACAGTTTCATTTTTTACTTCCAGTTCTTTTAATTCAATGCTCTATATCTTTATCTGTGGCTTCTGGATTAAAAAAATATATATATTACAACTATGTATATCACAAATATTCCTTATTACCAAACGCGGCAAAATATCTAAAACGGGCACTGAGTTACGTGACATTATATCTTTTAATTTGCAACAAACAAATTCATATTATATACATTTTGTGCTAATGTTGAAATGTAACTTTATAGTTGAGCTATGCGCATACATTGTTGTTTGCAATTAAAATAATTTGCTAGACTCATCACACAAAGCAATAAAGTTTTATATACATTTTATTACTATTTTAACGACATTACTGATGCAATTACAACTTATTCTTGTATTGTGAAGGCCGGAATCTGTGATACATTGTTAACGTAACATACTATACCACTTGAGCACTAAAATTAATAATACACATTATTGTGAAGACATTGTATCAAAATACTAACACGTTTATATATGTTTTTTTAAATACCACTATTAATTTATTATTATATTATAAAAGTTACATACAATTACTGTTAAGTTATAAAAATAACAATAATGTCTTGTGTGATTAAAATAAAATTGAAACATACAAGGTTTGAACTAGCACCATACCCAGGCTAATTCTTATAGGCACTATTTCTTTTTATTTTTATTTCATGACGTCATTGATTTCCAACATAATTAGAAATATATAAAAGCCAATTTCTTCGAAAAGCGCATATATTATTACTACTTACAATGGACTTGAAAAAGGAAGTTATTAATTCGACTGTAATGTTATGTAGGAATGTATAATTACGCGATATCTTCGCCAATATTAACCGACTATACATATATGATTTTCTTTTAATTTTTTAAAAGTCTATTATATTAATATAAACAAAATCTTATTACGTTTATCTCTACTTTTATTTAGTTTAATAATAGGCATTAGTTCAGTACTACAGATTTCATAGACAATGGAATATAATAGTGATAGAGCAACTTTGTAAGTACCTATGATGCCTATATTTGTATATTTGTTAAAATTCTTACGTAACTACACGGTACAATAACCTTAAAGGTTATAAAGATCAATTGGTTGCAGGTGTTTCTTGACTATTATTTGCGACTAAATATGTGGAAGACTTTATAATGAATATAAAATAAAGAATTATAGATAAAGAAAGAAAGAGAGAATAAAGAAATAATTGCTTTTATTGATAGGAAAATTATTACTACTACACTCGTAGTAAATAAATATAAATAGATAAATAGCTTTAGTAACATCAAGATCAGACATATACTCATACGTCTGATCTTGATGCATTTACTTTTAAATTAAACGCTTTTAATTTATTTTTATACTTTACCCTGGACTTGCTTTGGAAAATACAAAACAGGGAACTCAATTATTCCTATTTTAAAATAAATTAACCCAATAGGCAACGAGATTTATATATAAATTATTTTTAAATTTAGAACACAGAGACGCATTTACAATTAGATTTAACAACAAACATTTTTGATAAAAAAAAAATAGCGTCAACAACCTTAATAAAATTCAACTGATTGCAATATAAATTTACCTATTAAAATCAATTCCAAACAATACTGCATATTACTTTTTTAATCTTCTTTTTTTGACTTTTGCATAAAAGATGTCGGAAGTGTATTTATTTATTTATAATTTAACTTTGCGGCAACTTTATTCAAGTAAAAGTAACCGTATTCAACAGGAATAAATTTGCATGTCCTTTTCCAATCTCTATCCGAAATATTACATAAAATATGCCATATATACCTACAATTAAACATACATTCATAATTAAAATATTAATTGATATGATCACAATCAAATATTTCGACAATTTTCGAAATATCCATTTCTGAACGACCTGAGAAATGAATACGAGACGTCAAGTTCGCTGCCGTACACTCTAACCACAAGACTATTAGGTTACAGTTCACGTAGGTTATTTAACTCTGCCATGGCGTTCCTCGTACCAGGTCTGTGACGTCACGCACCCCTAACTAGGCGCTTCCGGACACAAATTGGTTTAGGGCAAGCGGTAGCGAATTGCTGGAAAGCGACTCGATACAAATGCTCAATACATTATCGAGGCAGGTGGAACGCTTTATGGTGAATAGCTTTACGATCGTCCACAGTGAGCCATCTGTCTACTATGTGGCTGAACTACTACGTATACAAGTTATGTACGTATAAAAAAAATAACATCATTTGTGTAACAAAACTATTATTTAATAATAATCTCAATTCGTTACAATTTACATAAAACTAGTGATCCGACCGATCCGGATTATTTATTTATTTACACTTTATTGCACCATTTATAAAATAGTAAATACATTTAACTGTAATAAGAAATGATACAAAAGGCGACCTTATCGCTAAGCAATCTCTTCCAGACAACCTTTGGATAGAGAACATTGAGAAAAGAAAGAAAGACAAAGGGTAGGTGGCGCACTATTATATATAAACAAATACATACATAAACGTACACATTATTAGCATGAGTAGACAGAATTTTCGAAAATCCAATACATAGAATAAATAAAGTTACAGACAATTCAATTGATCGGTTATTTTATAGCATTTTATATGTAATTCTTTAGATTGATATAACTTTTTTTATTTAAAAACCGATTGAAATAAAACAGACATTAAATGTTATGTGAAGTAAACCGCGTTCAAATCGATAAAGCCGTTTCTATGAGATTAGCGTGCACAGACGTTTAGACAAACAGACATACAGATGAACACACAAAAAGAAGAAAAATCTTAAAATCATTATTTGGGTTCTATTACGTTCATAAAGCCCCCTTATAATAGTTTTTATATATCTGCTACGTACAGATACCAACCAATTACGGTTTTATTATATGTATTGATGATATAACTATTAGGGGTGGGTAATGAATGAATATGAAGCGATATGTTAACTTAGGATCTTAATGAACCGGGCAAGGTGATGAGGTGCTAATTGAAAATCAGCGTTTCTACTTCTACAGGAATTTTAAGCTGCATTGGCATCCTTTTTCATTTCAATAACACTGTCAGAATTCAACTAGACTTTATTATAATATATGTATATAAACTTTTTCTATATATATTTTTTAATGTTGTTATTACTTGCAGCCTAAATGTATGTATGTAACTGTTGTAGATTATTAAAACAAAATTTCATTCATTTGTTATTATTTCATTATCATATCATTTATTTATATCTATTTATTTATATCTTTCTTTAATCTATTTATTTAATCTATCATTTCATTTATTATATTTATTTATATCTTTTAATTACAGTATCTGTTTACTGTTACAGTAACGATTATGTTAAAAGTCTGTTATCTAAAAATTTATATTGGATAACAAACTTTTAACATATTCGATAATAGATATCCAACCAATATAAGCAATATCGAAATGGGTCATCGCCCATATCTAAGAAAAAAGGTTCTCGCCTTTTTCCTGCCATCAATGTTTCAGAAGAACCCAATATATAGATATCGAATCGGTATTCATGTTGCCCATGAATAACTATGGTTTGTTGTAATATAAATAAACGAATATTTGACTCAACTTGACTCAACCATAAGAATGTCTGCTTGTGTCTAATTTGAAGTAGTAATGGGGGAAAAGGGATTGTTAGTAAAGGGATTTAACAATATATTTACGTTTCCAAAATATAGTCTTACTAATATAAATGTGAAAGTGAATTTATTTGTTACATTATAAAAACTATCACTTATATCAGTGAATCTGTATATTTTTTTCCAAAAAGACATGGGTTAAAAGACGCTGAAAACATTCGAATGCCCCATGCTCTTATCGTGGTTCAGCTGTCAAATTACTATGGAAGGGCCTAACTTTGTCACTTTTCGTGCTATATAGAAAAAATAATCAATTTACTTCTAAATCACTCTTTTCAAAGTACGCTAATAATTTCCATTTAAAAGTGCATAAAAAATAAACATTTAATATTTGTTTCATTACCTACTTGTGAGGCATGGGAGAGCTGTGACAATTTCAACAGTCGGAGTTAACACAAAATGCACTCATGCATATCT